AACAGAGGACTCTATGGAAGTCAATAAAAAATAGGCGAGATAGGTTGGTAGGACACCTTCTCAGGCATGAAGGTCTAGTCAGAGACATATTAGAGGCAGAAACAGGAGTTAGGAGGGGTAGAGGTAGGCCTAGATTAGATTACTGTTCGCAAATAGTTAAGAATGTGGGCTGTTCTAGTTTTAGGGAAATGCGAAGTTTAGCTCAGGATAGGAAAGAGTGGAAGTGCCTGTACAACCAGTCTTAGGACTGACGATCTTGTGATGATCTAATTTCTTATGAGATACCTAATAAATTCTGGATCATTGCCTGCATTGGTGACGTAATTGTTTGGTTAGGTAGATTTATGACAGATTGGAGATTATTCAATGTCCCTGCCGGCTGATATGTTAGAGTATTTTATTCACAGAAAGCATTAGTTTTATACATTTCGTGGTACAATATCGGAATTTCATACAATTCCTAGAATTGGGGTTCCTGACCAAAACCGCTTCAAAATTTTTTACATCGATTTCTGGTCATTTCTAAGGGTTCAATGATTATATTTGACGTTGGGGAGACAATGTTTTTTTATTACAGCATACACCATAGGGTATATCGTGTATGTATAGTTATTTCGTCTTTTAATATCAATAAATGAATTTTATGCAGTGACAATCGTGAGATAAGGAAGATTACAAGCTTGTATATATTTATACGAAAGAAAATAATTACTTTTTTTCGGAAAAATCAAAAAAACTTTTCACCCCCATCTTCTAATATCTAATTCAATTAAGTAGAATCACCGGAAATCGATTAAAAATTTTTTGGAGCGATTTTGGTCTGGAGTCCTAATTCTGGACAATTACCAAAGTAAATGCTATAAAATTCATTACAATATTTTGTAGTTACAAAAGCATTTTCTACAATAATATAAGTGTATTTGTAGTTTAGTGATGATGCTGTTTTCTAAAATTATCTATTTGATTTACCTAATTTGATTTTGACTATAAAAACGTTACTTACCTACGTGAAAAATCCCCAAATCCGCGCAAGTCCATATAACAGCGAAGTTTTCGTAATCAGTTTCCAGAAATTGATAAATTCCTGTTCCCGGAAGGTATTTGGCCAAGAGGTTAGGTAATGTGGAGTCTACTTTGTATGAAAATATACTCCTTATTTTCTTGTTGGGTATTGCAGTTCCTCGATTAATTATTATACTTCCGGACCTAACAAATTCACGGTTTTAAAATTAAATACCACGTAAACAAGAATTGTTTATTGCAATCGCAAAAGGTAAACATCTTTAAAAAGTCAAATATTCATCTCAAACGCATTCATTTATTTACTTTTTATTTATTACTTTAACTAGCTAAAAAGCTCTGATATAAATATTATAAAAAAATTATAACGTATAACATGATTGGTATGCGCATAGTCGAAACATACCTATGCCATAATAATACAACAAAAAGGTTTTGCAATTTTTAAAATTCTATTCTGTAAGTTTTAAAGTAAATATAATAAAAAAATTATTTTGATACGAACAATCACATGCAATAACTGTAAAGGTTGTTATGTTGTGAAAGAAATATCACAGTAACTCAAGAATTGCCCTGGTGGAAATATATCTACAACAAAATACGCAACACTACAACAATTAACTATTTCTTACAAATTTTTCCTGTAGAAACATTACAACAATTAAGGCAATACAAAAACACTGTTCAGTTCCACGTTATAAATTGTAGACGGTTGTCGAAGACAGAAATTTCTGAGAACAAATAACAACTTACTATTTGTTATTTTGTTAAATTGAAAAAAGTTATTTGTTGTAGTTACTAATAGAATACTACAACATTTAATGGAAATTTACCACGCAGTTTGTTATAGTCCTACTTAAAACCCTACAACTTTTTATGATATTTAACAATATGTAACGTTATTAGTGGAAATCAATTACAAATAAACTTTTCTACGAGAGAATAATGAAACGGCTAGCGAAATAGCCCGTAGTTACGTATACAAAAAGTTACTTTTCAACCCTTACGTTTAACAAATTTAGTGTAATAAAATTAAATACTTTTCAATTGGACAAGCAACAATTTCTACGAATTAAGAAGAAATCCCTTAGGAAATTATAGTAACTAGGCGTTTCAGGCATAAATAGTTATAGTTTATCATAACATTGCGTAATTTAAAGATTATAGTAAAGTACGACTTTCAACAATTATCAAGGATATTCTACAATACTGTCTTAATCCCAGTAGATATTACGTTGTAAAAAATTGTAGTATTTAAACACAATGGAGATAGGATTATGTTGTAAAGAATCATTCAATGTTGTATAGAAATTTATTGTACTAAATTGTAGTTTCGCGTTAAATGTTGTCGAATTATTTCCACCAAGGTGGGATAGTGTGTATATACATTATGAAAACAAAATATTTAATTTGATGAGGTATTCAATATGTTTTCTTTAAATTGATAACCAATGAGAATGTCTACAATATTCAACCATCTTCAATTTATGACTTTTGATAAAGAATGACAAGGGTGACGCTCAAAGCTCAAATACACTTTGTTAGAAAAATATTTTTTGAATAATTTATTTTCAAAAAATTTTTGGCGGTCCAAATTATGACCTTATATTCAATGAGGCGCCAACGAATCCTTGAGTGGAAATTACCGCCCACATACGCAAGTAGCTTAATACAGCTAACGGCTCTTCGATGTTTGTTTTAAGGACTTTGACGTTTGCAACTTTGTTTCTAAATGTGTCTGTTTAAATGAAAGAGGAAAACATGACGTAGTCAACTGAACCGATTCAGTATTGTTTCGACCTACATAAATTTAAATTACCATACAAATAATAACGGTTAATTTAGAAATTCGAAGAAATATGGATAGTGGGTGCGGCGGTTTAGAAGCGTTCGTAATGTGGTGTTACAGGCGAATGATGAGGATACCGTGGATAGATAAGGTTAGAAATGAAGAGGTATTAGAAATAGGAGAACAGAGGACTCTATGGAAGTCAATAAAACAAAAGTGAGATAGGTTGTTAGGACACCTTCAAAGGCATGAAGGGCTAGTTAGAGACATATTAGAGGCAGAAACTGATTAAATTACTGTTCGCAAATAGTTAAGGATGTGGGTTGTTCTAGTTTTAGGCAAATGCGAAGATTAGCTCAGGATAGAAAAGAGAGAGGTGCGTGTCCAACTGATTACTTTATGATGATGATAATAACTAGAAAATAGAAATAGTAACCAGAGAACTATTGTTCAAATAAAATTGATTCACGGAAAATGCTCGCTGTCATCTTATGAATCGAGCGACTAAATTTCTGAAGGACTAACTAGATGCTAGATGTTAGTCCCTACTTCTGTGCGCTTGCGGTTAATTGGTTAGGACGGATTTGATTTGAATGTAAAAAAAATTGGCTCATTCTGTAAATGTTGTTCCCTTTAACTGTATATCCTGGTTAGAAGCAGCGATTAGTTCATATATGAGTAAAAATCAAAAATTCCGCAACTGGCTTAGATAATTTTAACGAATCAAAATTTTGTATAAAATATTTTCTAGGAGACAAATTAATCGTGAAAATGAGAAGTGAAGTAGTTTTAATAAAAGTGTCGCAAGAGGAAAATCAATCATAATTCGGTGCTTCACAGACAGGTATCCATCCATATTTAGTTAAAATCACACACATTTAAACTGATTGGTGTTAAGTATATGTTATTTTCTTTTGTAGTTTGGAACGTACCATCTACTTATGGTCCTTACTGTCACTTGAAGTTGTTTTCTTTCATTCTCCCAAATGTTTAGACTTACACAACTGGTTATTAATTCCATCAAGTGAAAAGTTCGTTCAATTTCGTACCATGTACCCACTATCTGTAACGAAAACAGAAACCCATGCAGCTTTAATAAATTAAGAAAATATATTTCATTTAAGATTGGGTCGAGGGAGGTTGTGTAAAAAATATCAAAATTTAAAACACCCTTCACTCCCCCTTTCACCCTTAATCTAATAACAAATTAAATATTTACGGGAAATACCAATAAATTTGCCATTCCGCAAATATCTCATCTAAATTATTTGCGAGTGGAGACGTGCTTTTCGCGCTCAACGTATGCAAGGTTATTAACGATATACGACACGAAAGATTACGGTTATGTACCCAGATTTTTAAAAAGTTTTGTTGTGGGAAAGTATAGGGAAACATGGATCGGATTTGTTCAAATATCATATAGACATTCTTTTATTCAAATTTAGGTAAATATCTAAAATACCACAAAAGGCGCGGTAAACGCCATCTGTAGTACGATGCTACATTTTAGGATTACGTATGCTCCAACAAGGTCCATTTAAATGTATGAATATCTACTTACTGAAACGAATCCTGGCGTAGCTAACCACTACGTGATAGGCACGTTACCATAATCGAATAAAATAATTCGAAGTGGTTCGTATTCTGTCGAAACTGCCAGACGCGGATCGCTATTTCGATTTTTTTGGATCTCATCAGCGTGTCGCAGACAGCTCCGACAGAACACAGACCTTGTTGGAGCATACGTAATCCTAAAACATCGCATCATACTACAGAAAGCGTTTACCGCGCCATTTGTGGTATTTTCTAAAACGCGCTGTTAAGACAGCAGGTAAAAGTTGGTCTGTGTTCTATCGGAGCTGCATGCAACATGCTGATGAGATCTAAAAAGATCGAAATCGCCATCCGCGTCTGGCAGTTTCGACAGAATACAGACCACTTCGAATTATTTTATTTGGTAAATATCGTTTATTCTTTTCTATTTTCAATTATTGGTGCAATCAAAATTCTATCCTATTGTATTTATGTTGTAGTAAGTGTATTTCTTTTGTATAACTTCCTTTAAATATTTCAAATGTTTTGTTCTAGTTCTTTTGTGTACTGCCTATCTGCAAATAACTTTATTACTGTACTTTCCTATAATTCATATTAATGTTTCAGTTTCGCTTACCAAGCCACGACGTCTGTATTCCCTATTCTTTCTTAATTGCACTTTATGACTGGTTTCTTCAGAAGTCAGTATTGTAGTCTTAGGATTTCTTATCTCTAGTATTTTCCAAACATTAAAATACCGTTCTTTTGATACTCCCTTTCTCCACTTTTACAATTTTCAAAACACTTCGATTTTTCTAATCTAGTCAGTTCCTCTCGAGTTTTTTATCACTCAAGTCTCTTCATTATCTACGCATGTCTTTGTTAAGTTTGTTAATATGTTGTTATTTCGTTGTTAACTAGTTTTATTTCTTTGTTATTACGTCCTCCAAAAACTCTAACAAAATAAAGTGATCCAACATGTTAAACAATAATAACTATTAGGTAAGGCTATATTTTCTCGTAATACAATATTTTCCAGCTGACTGATCATTAAAACGTCTTAAAAGATCGAATAAATTGTGTTATAGGCCTATTTTCTATATGCAAGTTATTTTCATTTAATCAGAATGTTTAATTAAAATAACCAAATTTTTATGTATTCCAGTTGGTACTAAACATTTGCAGCCGTTTTAGGCGAGCACATAGAATATTGAAAACTAGTGTCGTGTGTTTTTCTGAAAAGTTCCCGTGTGATCATGTCTTCGTCTTCGAGTGAGGAGAAATTATTTTTGCTGGACAATATTCACTTAAAAATTACGGCGGGAAAGTAGAATGGTTGGAATCCATGATAGTAATCAGAATATTTTTTAGTTATGTAACAATAAACATGATTCGAATAAATGGTGCGACTGGCAGCGTCAACCAATCCTACCAAAAGAACGATTTGATGATTTTCTTAAGGTGAACAAATCCTAACTAATATTATAAATACAAATGTGAGTTTGTTTAAGAACAAAGGCTTTCACAGCCGGAATCCATAGTAGAATAAAGATTCGGGCTATAGGACCGTGGTCTAAGTGAACTACTTTGTCTAAATGTTTCGTCGGCTACTGGCGGCTGACCCGAGGGGTCGAAAAAATTAGTTTAATGTGTCAAAGTTGATTTTGCGCCTTAACTACTCAGTTCATCATGCTGAAATTTTGTAGACACATTTAAAGGATACAGAAAAACAGGGTAACTTTCATCAAAAAAAAATATTGTTTCGAGGGATAGAAAAAAATTAGTTTCGTGTGGCCCCTTTCACGTTTTAATTATACTCTATCGACCATCATGAAATTTTGCAGAGACACGTTATCAGGGGTATAGGAAAGGACATAAAGTACTTTTATGTGGTCGTCGATGATCTTTGACACGTATTTAGGACATCAACGCCAGCGAAGTCCTGGGTAAAATCTAATGTTTGAATAAAATAAATAAAATCCATCAATAGGATATAAAGTTTGCAATGTTTCTGTAAGGGTGGTTCAGGTTCGGATAGCACGGAACCTATGTTACAGTACAGTACTCAAGACAATATCAGCTTTTGATATGAATTTGACCCATAAAATAAATAAAATCCATCAAGGGGATATAAAGTTTGCAATGTTTCTGTAAGGGTGGTTCAGGTTCGGATAGCACGGAACCTATGTTACAGTACAGTACTCAAGACAATATCTGCTTTTGATATGAATTTGACCCATAAAATAAATAAAATCCATCAAGGGGATATAAAGTTTGCNTTACGCAAATCGTGTAACATTATTTATATGTTCTATAAACTTTTCTTTATTTTTTAGTTTTTCTTTAGTCGTTTTCCAAATTTCGTTGGTATTTTTTTGACACAGTTGCGCTGGCAAGTCAGCATGAGAGCTTTTATAGGCCAAGAACAGCTGATGATGCAAATTTCCCTCTTTTGAGGACATTACAGTATGAACACTATTTAATTCCCTGATTTTTTATTTAAAAAAAATGTTACGTAACGTCTTGCAAGAAAGACCCCCTTATGAAATACTTGTAACACAAACTTTAATATCATAAATCTAATAAATAATTAAGACGACGTTTACAATTAGAAATTCTTACCATTCAACAAGTAGATAATTACCTCGATAAAGTCTTAAAACCTTAACTTAAGGCGAATCGTCCATCATATTAATAGAAAAACTTTTACTCCTCAACTTTCGTCGTTACACAGATACAGACAGTATGTATAGTGTTTTTCAATTTTGAAACGATTTCCGTCTTTTTTTAACAGTAAATACTTAATCAAAATTTTACTAAGCACAGTTGCTACTCAGAATATCACTTTCTAACAACCATTTAACCTACCTTACTTACAGCTATAAACAAACGATAAAGGTCACCACACTTGCAGGCTATTTGTGTGGATGTAAACTTGTAAATAAAAGATAAGAAAGCTACTAGGGATTTGTTAAGGGTCATTAAAAACAGTCGCACACCCGAACTCGGCGTTACATCCGAAGTCGCCATAGCCACATGAATTTTGCACTAAAGTATGCTTTAAATTCAAGGGACTTAGATTTAACGTCGCTACAGCAAAATGCTCGCTATAATAAAGGTCGTAATAAATGAAATCTACTGTACTCAGTTGAGTAGGAATTCATACATGTCATTTTATTATAACACTTAACTATTCTATTATAACACCAACTAGATAGTATAGGCGCTTCTTTAATTCAAACATTTTGACGAATATTTGAGAATTGGCGAATATCCTAGAACAAGTATGTAAATAAATTTATATGAAGAAAATGTTCTGTTACGAATATGTAATAGTAACAGTACACAGGACTAATGAAATATGAATTACATAAAATCATTTCCTTTTATAGCCGATCCATTAGTGGGCAGCATTGCTACTCAGTATCTTCAAAATAGAGAAGAACACGATCGTATCGCAAGACTTTGGACTAAGCGTTATGCAACGTGATTTATTTAACAATTCTGCGTGTCTTGTCACACTAAAAGTTTTTATGCTTAAGTTTTGTCATCAGTAATACTTCCTTCTAAGTAAAGTGTTTGGTTTGAAGTAATAACAAAAGAATTTTTAATAAATTTTATTTCAGAATGAATGTAGTTTTAAGTATTGTGTACTTTTACATGTAAGCTGAACTCCGTAAAAAATATATGTACGAATTACATATACGTTTATTAAATTGGTTTTAGATTTTAAGAACGTTGTATCGATAAATGTATTATGTGCTAATATAATTTTGCTGAATATCGTGAACTGTATGGTAGTTTATTTGGCTCGAATACTATATAACAAAGATATAATAGTAAGAAATCAACATGTCATTAAATGAAACAGAAATCTATGTAGTTTTTCTTTTAAATTATTGTTTTGCGCTGATACCTATCTAATGGTTAAAACAAATCGACTTAACGCGAAATCTTCCTAATTTTTTTTAAATAAGAGAATAAGACTAACGTTCATGCGGTTATGTAAACGCTATGATAAGTATATGAAATTAGGCAGTATACACCAATATGAGACAAAATACTGAAAAATGACAACAGCGGCTTGTTGATTGCTGACCAAAAAATGAACCTATGAAAGACGTACATTGTATAGATGGTCAACGCTGACTATTCGACTCCTGAACGGTTTTTTTCTGAATGTCCAAATTTGATCTGAAATTCATCATCATAAGGTCGTCAGTCCTAAGATTGGATGGACAAGTACCTGCACTCTTTCCTATCCTGAGCTAAACTTCGCATTTCCCTAAAGCTAGTGCTAGACCTTAACTATTTGCGAACAGTAATTTAACCTAGGTCTACCTCTACCCCTCCTAACTCCTGTTTCTGCGTCTAATATGTCTCTGACTAGACCTTCATCCTTGACAAGAAAACAAAAAAAATACAGATTAAATATTAAGGCAACAAACTTTCTTCTTACAGTACAAAAAATATACAATACTTATGTCAAAAAATACTAACATATTTAATATTACAAAGAACATCATTACCTATTTTCTTTATATTTTTTCTAGTATTAATATATAGGTTTATTTTTTAATCGTAAGTAATATTTCGTAGTATTACCTTCTTGCACCGTATGCACTAATTTAAAGAGATCTGGATATAATGTCTCTAAAACTTGTATTTGCAATATAATAGATAAGTATGTATTTACTTATGCCAATTTTAGTAGATACACATTTCCTGCCATGATTTGTGCATGTGTATTTTTGAAAAATCAATTCTGCGCATGCGTTCCTGTCACACTCATCTGATTTGTGAAAGATGCGCATGCGCAGATTGTAGGTAAAATAAGCAGTCGAACACACTCCATATACAATTTTAATTTGCCAGCAGATTTCTTGATTTACAATTTATCGGTACTATCAGATGTGGATCATAATTTAGAACTTATTAAACCAAAGTTGCTGAATACAACTGCAGTACGTACTTCGTAATAATATTATTTGACATGGTTATAACAAATAGTATTTTTTTTTCTCTAAAACGATGAAGCTCTAGTCTTAGGCAAGCTTAATGAGTATTATTTAATTTCAAAAACGAATTTAAAAAAATTTGAAATTAAGAAATGCAAATTGTACCGACATAGGTACTTCCGCAATAATAACAATAATAAGTTAAATACGGAAATAAATATAAAGGAGACTGTGGCGTATTGATAAACAAAAAGAAAAGTCTTACCCCAACTAACCAGAACACTTTAAAAAACTACGCGGACACGTGTTTCGCGCACTTACGCGTTGTGAGCATTTCCAACGCAAGACTAAATTTTGATTATCAAGGGGGCTAAATATATATGCTACCTACCATTTGTAGTGTTCAATTTCCGCTGTTACTTTCGTATATACAAAGGTTACAATTTAAAAACAAATATATTTTGTTTCAATTAAAAAATCCTATCAAAGCAACAACGTATGCTTCGCATGACAAATATTTAACGCGGAAGAGGGAAGGGGGAAGTGTTCAATAACTATATTCATTTTTAAGGACTTAGTCAATCCTATATTATTAAAATACACATGCTTCACATAACGAAGAACCAAGCTAGGGGATGGAGCAAGGTTAATTATTAAACTTAACAGTAAAACGACTTCGTGATTTCTGATTGAACTACTGTTCGTTTCAAGAAGTTGGAGATGCCCCTTCCCTTTATTAGGATGCCCCGTAGCATAATTCCAAATTCAATTATATTTGTCTGCGTAGCTCATTTCTCCACCGATTATCGAGCGAGACCTAGACAAAAGCGTACAGTACCATTTGCAAAATTATTTAAACTGCCTCGTTAAAATTTAAGAATATGCTTTATTTAAAAGCATATTTAGCCAAAAATAATAANCAGCTTTTGATATGAATTTGACCCATAAAATAAATAAAATCCATCAAGGGGATATAAAGTTTGCAATGTTTCTGTAAGGGTGGTTCAGGTTCGGATAGCACGGAACCTATGTTACAGTACAGTACTCAAGACAATATCAGCTTTTGATATGAATTTGACCCATAAAATAAATAAAATCCATCAAGGGGATATAAAGTTTGCAATGTTTCTGTAAGGGTGGTTCAGGTTCGGATAGCACGGAACCTATGTTACAGTACAGTACTCAAGACAATATCAGCTTTTGATATGAATTTGACCCATAAAATAAATAAAATCCATCAAGGGGATATAAAGTTTGCAATGTTTCTGTAAGGGTGGTTCAGGTTCGGATAGCACGGAACCTATGTTACAGTACAGTACTCAAGACAATATCAGCTTTTGATATGAATTTGACCCATAAAATAAATAAAATCCATCAAGGGGATATAAAGTTTGCAATGTTTCTGTAAGGGTGGTTCAGGTTCGGATAGCACGGAACCTATGTTACAGTACAGTACTCAAGACAATATCAGCTTTTGATATGAATTTGACCCATAAAATAAATAAAATCCATCAAGGGGATATAAAGTTTGCAATGTTTCTGTAAGGGTGGTTCAGGTTCGGATAGCACGGAACCTATGTTACAGTACAGTACTCAAGACAATATCTGCTTTTGATATGAATTTAACCCATAAAATAAATAAAATCCATCAAGAGGATATGAAGTTTGCAAGGTTGTTGTAAGGGTGGTTCAGGTTTGGATAGCACGGAACCTACATTACAGTACAGTACTTAAGACAATAACTGCTTTTGATATGAATTTGACTCATAAAATAAATAAAAACCATCAAGAGGATATGAAGTTTGCAAGGGTGGTTCAGGTTGGGATAGCACGGAACCTGTGTTACAGTACAGTACTCAAGACAATATCTGCTTTTGATATGAATTTGATCAATAAAATAAATAAAATCCATCAAGAGGATATTAAGTTTGCAAGGTTGCCGTAAGGGTGGTTTAGGTACGGATAGCATGTAACCCATGTTACAGTAGGTGTGGAAGATCTGGAATACGAGGTTGGTGAATGTTGAGTGTATGCACTTTATTCCCAGCTGAGTATTTGGATAAGCAAATTTCTGCAGCCGACTGTGGAAATCCAATATCTGGCTAAGGGTGAATTTTTTTAACGTTTGGGAGAAGACACTCTTGAAAAACAGCCAAGTTTTAATATTTGCGTCATTTATCTGTTTTCTGTCTATCCCTTAATCCAATAGTTCCATCTTTTTACTTTCGTATCGCATACGATTGATCATTTTCTCCTCTACTGGTATCGAACAAGGCTCAGATGCTGCTATTAACGGATCATCTCTCACCCGTTCAACTTAGAATATGATTGAGGCAGCATCGGGGTTTAATTTTGATAATTTTAAAAGTGAGTTCGAATAAGAATCACAATTTTCTAAACATTCAGAATCAAGATCTATTTTTTACTTCTGTAAAACATAGGCTTCACCTATAGTAAGAAAATCATCTGTTTCTGGGTAGGTGTAATCTATATGTCCTTTTGTCGATTTTTCTTCTATTGCATTAGGCAGATTTTGACACTCACGATTTGCACTAACATTAATTATTTTAGTCGATTAACTATTAAAACATGCCGAACTTATATTTACTAAATTTATTTGCCCAATTCTATCCAATTCATCAAGTAGCTTTTTCAAAAAATATTTTAATTGCAATTACTAACAATTCCAATTTTACTAGATACTTAAATTCTAATTCGTGATTGAAAAGTATTTGATCGGAAATAATTTAACAATGCTTTCAACTTGTTATGCTAACATTTTGTGCATTACAATACATTGAACTTGGTAAGTATGTTCATAATTTATGCGTTTTGCGATCACTTGCAATTTAATTGTTCTGGATGTGAATAGTACACATATAGCGTATATGTATATTGCAACTTCAATTAATTTTAGTACCTATATCTATGTACTTAATGTCTTTTTGATAATGACGTTTAATGGTCAAATGTCTAAACATTGTAAGAGTTTTGTAACAAGCAGTTGAAACTAAAACGTTTGATCGTCGTTCTTTTTGATCGGATTCAAATGTTTTATCAAGATTGCAGATTGCACCATAAACAGTTTTAATAATATTATTTAATGTTATTTAATAGAAAATATTATGTACATATTAATTTATAACAGTAAAAGTTGAAGCTCAGAAAAGGGCAGAAATTTTTGTGAACAATCTTCTTTTCAAAATCCTGTATCTACCCCAGATAAAAATAATATCGTGAAGTTTATTTTTTGATTGATTGAAATAGAATTTACATAAATTTTAAAAGCTACCAAAATTGAAAAAGTAAAACTATTATCTATTGCCTTCATCATTATTAACTAAATCAAAGAATTTTAACAACTAAACATAAAAATACCTACAGATAAAATTAATATTTAAAGTATTAACCTATTAATACTGAAAATAAGTGTTTCAAAAGTATTACTTTTATGTAATTTTATGATTATTAATGTAAACAAAAAACGAAAAAAAGAAGCGTTTTATCGTAATCTCACGGAACACTAAAAAGATTTTGAGCGACTCTCAAAAAACATTTGATCATGCCGATTGTTGGAGGGAAAAGGTGTTTTCTAAAATGAAATAAAAAGAAATTGTCCAAGAAAAGGGCCACTAAATATACGTCCTTTATTAGGTAAAAGAGATTCTCGAGTCTTCGATTCCTACACTAACAAACAAATGTTACATAACTTACCTTGGACACGTTAAAATTTCGTAGAGCTATGTACTTCGGACAACGCCCGAATCCAGAAGAATGATAACATTTTACATTGAAAACAAAAACTATAAACACGAAAACACCAATCGTTTTTAAATTCATTTTTTGTAGGTTACAGACTCCCAATATAATTTTTACCTACTACATACAGTTTTTTCCTACAATTACTATAAATTATCTACATTTCTTTAATAAATATCGGTAATGCGTTATATTCAGGAAAAAAAATAACGGCCTTCAGACGTCTTTAAAAGATATGTAGACCAGTAAACAACTTCTAGGATTTTAAAAATGCAAATTATTTTACAAAAAACATAGTTAACCTATATTATAATTAAATCGAACCTTTGAGTCATATACCTACGCACTCAGTGCGGACATATTTATCACCATAACAAAGCTTTTAATGACAAATATTAATACCGGAAAATAATTTGTAAACTTTTTATGTAATTTTGAATTGGAAAGATACGGTAGGTATACATAATAAATGTTGAAACATACATGAACTGCTTAAGCGTGCAACTCCAAAATAGATGTTTGGCCGTTGTAGGAAAGCAATCACCATTTCTTGTTTATTTATATTACTTTATTTTGTACAATTGAAAATGAAATTTAAGTTCTAAGACTGAGTTGACAGTTGTAAATGTTAGACAAAAAACCAGTCACAACATTGCACACCTGATAAAAAGTAAATGATTTTTAGATTTCAATTAAGTGGAAGCTCATACAATAACTCATCAACATTTCTTACGTGTAGTTGAATGAGAAACCGCGAGGATCTTTAAATAAGAGCACAAACAACAATAGGGACTAAAATTGTTAAATATCTGTTAAATACTTAGCAAAGGAATGTAAAATAAGCAAATATATAATTATTGAGAGTATCGCTCTGTATAAATTGAAGTTACAGGTAGGTCAGGGAATTGAACTTTCTAAATGCAATATAAAATATGAGGCATTGGGCTGTACGATCCTGAGCAGAAATTTGTTAGGACGGGAATCCGGTCCTCATCTGGTTAGCCTTAGTCCACTTAAGGATCTGATCGAAAACGTAATGCCTCTGCATGCCATGGGCCTAACCAGACAGACAAGTCCGAGCCTGATCAGGCAAACGAGTCCAGGTCCTATCGGACAAAAGGCATGTAGTCCTGATCAGGTTTTTCTAACATGTGTTTAATGTGGCTATATGACCTGGCCTTGAACAGGCCACCTTATATGGGCTTGGTATGATTCTGATAGGAACTGCCTTATCTTATGGTTTAACTGGGATTTTAAAATTTTAATAATTTCTTCTTGTAAAAATAAGTTCTGATGAATCAAGCCATTAAACCAAAAGACAAAAAAGTTTACTTTCTAAAATTTAAATGATAAATATATCAAACTGTTCGTTTTGGTTTAATAACTTCGTTAAACAGAACTTGTTTTTGCAAAACCGTAAATGTAGTAATAATGAGAGTATATATAGGAGTGGCTGATTTTAGATATCTAGGAAGTCAGATAAGTCAGGACGGAAGGAGCTGTAGGGATATAAAGCAGAGGATAGCGCAGGGTCGTGTCGCCTATAAAAAAAAGAAGTCACTTCTATGCTCGCGAACGGTTAAATTAGAAATTCGAAAAAGGTTGTTAAAGGTATATGTTTGGAGCACGGCGTTGTACGGGTGCGAAACATGGGCAGTGGGCGCGGCGGAAAAGAAAAGGTTAGAAGCCTTCGAAATGTAGTGTTATAGGCGAATGATGAGGACAACGTGGGTAAAAAAGGCTAGAAATGAAGAGGTATTAGAAAGAATAGGATAACAGAAGACTCTATGGAAGTCAATTAGAAATAGGCGAGATAGGTTGGTAGGACACCTTCTCAGGCATGAAGGTCTAGTCAGAGACATATTAGAGGCAGAAACAGGAGTTAGGAAGGGTAGAGGTAGACCTAGATTAGATTACT